GATCACTGTTGTCGATAAACTTTCACGATCTTTACACTTATAGAGAGTGTCAACCCTAACTTTCAACAACTGTGCAACTTTTAGCTTTTGAACTGAAAAAGTTTTGATTTAAAGAAATGACRTTTTGWATGCAATARCTGCAAACTCWAGAAAACCTTCGAGYTGTTTACRTRTATTTGCTTAAACAACCTGTTCCTAAAGAAAGACCTTTTCTTAGTTAACTTCAATAGTACAACAACTCATTTTGGTAACAAACAAGACGAGGACATTCTCAAATACACATCGAGCCTAAAAACGAATGGACTTCTTTAYARTTTTACAATAAATTTCTTGATAATTTGCGTTCTTACGCTTCATTTGAAAATTGTAAACATGAAAAGTTCAAAATAACGTTTGGTTGTGTATAGATCGCTCCACTGATTCGTCCCCTAAAAAGATTCATGGACCATGAAGAAAATGTTTTCCAACGTGTCTGTTTTTATCTCAAGCCTTGGATATAAAAGAGGAAAGATTTAAAGGAATCATATTCATAAATAACCAGCAACTGGGAAGGTTCAAATAAGAAAGTTAGGCTGTACGAAAAGTACAGATCTTACGGTGTACAAATCATAGGCAAAGCTCATAAATGTTCTCGACGATTCATGATAGGAAYTTTTTATTGCTCAGAATATAACAATAGCTAGCTAGAAGACAAAAACATATTTTAATCCAAGAAAATAAAAACTTTTTGGTCATTTTACCTAATTTCCTGACATAAATTTCACTGTTCTATTTTGATTGTTAAACAAAAATAAACTTTTGTTAAATTTTAATGGCCTTGATCGCCATTGTCTTTCTTTTCGCACAACCCGTCGCTTTGGTGGGATTTCTATTGTCCATCTTGTCATGAACATTAAACAGTAAGATTTGGATCAAAGATCAACTTTGTCTTGTTCATAGTATCATTAAAGCTACAGACAGAGGCGTCTACTACAACATACCATTCAGTGAAGCGATATATTTTTTTGGTATTGTTACTTAGTGCGAWACTGTATGTACTAAGGCTGTAACTGTATCTAGCCACAATCATCTACTAAAACGAGTTTCTGAGGCATGAAAAATAACAGTAACCCAACTGACAAAGGCGAATTCGAATGCAGACGAAAGAAAGATGTCGGTCACTGATCTTTTATCATGATCACTAATTTTAGAATAACAAACTGTTGCTGCAAAACTGCAGTAAAAGTTTACTGATTGTTTGACATTCATGATCACCTCAGCCACAAAAAGAAAAACGTTTATAATAAATCTTATTCGCACAAAAAACGTTAATTATCAATTCAATCGTTTATATATACCATTTACTTTTTTCTGTCAAAGTGCGCGCGATGAATATCGGCAATGAAAAAGACTTTCGATTGAGTCACAGTTGAAATCAGCATGGATAATATAACATGAAATCAGCTATGTTGTTCTCGCTATTGATCATGTGCACAGATGAAAGCCAGTGCGCGGTTACTGAATTTTTGCGAGCAGAATTTATGAGCGGGTTTTCATAAAATAAATAAATAAATCGACTTTGAAATTAATTGGAAGAAAGAACAAAGCTTGCAAACAATTTAAGATTTAATGTTACTATTCCATAATTTAGTTTAAAATGGTAGACAAATAGAACCATTCATTTTTCACAGTTTAGAAGTCAGAAAAATAAATGACATACTATATTTGGAGAATTAGAGATAACCTGCCTATGTTAGCAGGTATTCTATTTTACAACAACAAGATTCCCCTCACAATGTTTATTTTTCTGTCTTTTTGATACCAGAATGCCATGATCAAAGATCAAAGCGTGAATAAATATCATCTTAGTCTTCGTTCCTATCATTGAACAAGAACTGTATTGGGAGGTAACCATCGCTCGGTTCTTGAGACATTGTATAGTGCACGTGTTCAAGTGTCTGCCTGAGTGAGCAGGAAATAAAACACAAGGTTTTTTTCATGAACGCATGAGTCGCTTCAGTAGATTCACCAGCCGAGTACATGGAGTGTCGTTAGTAATTGACAGCAAATCAAAAACAATCTTGTTTTGCGCGCAGAATGACTATGGCCGATAGAAGACTCAATTGTAAGACACTGTCTTTATTTCATCTTCATTTCAATCTTCATTCACATCTTACGTTAGAAATAGTATATTATCTTTTGATAGCTAAACATTAAAAGGTCTAAAAGCTTATTCCCCAGTTTCAAACTAGCTTGACATTTGAAAATTGAGCGTTATTCCTTCTTTCAAAGTTCATCATCAATCATATTGCAGCTCAAATGGTTTCAGGTCTGACAATGACCGCCAAAATCAGCTTAATAGGAACGTTGTTTGGTCAGAACAAGGCTCTGTGTATAACTATGGAAAGTTTTGAATGGAGATTTGGAGTTTAAAATTAGCGCCGATCAGACACACTGCAGTGGCGATGTTATTTATATCATTATGATTATTCAAGAAAGTAGTATTCTTGAAATGAACTTGCAGACAACAGAAAATGTTATTTTGCTAGCTTAAGGTCAATCCAAATTTATGCTTGCATTTGGCAATTGAGTCTTCAACTGTGGGTGCACGCAAATCAAAGTGTTGTTTAGTTTGTCTGTCAACCACACATCCAAGTGCTGCTGGTGAATCTACTGAAGCGGCTCATGCGTTCAAACAAACGTTAGGATACAATCAGTATCTAAAACTGAGGGATGAGTACCTCCCACTACCGTTCTTGCTCTCATACAATTATACGATGATAAAGATAGTGACTATTGATARCACTTTGATCTTTGATCGTTTCGTTCTGGTATCAAAAGACAGAAAAATAAAATAAACAATGTGAAAGTCCTATTATTATACCTGTTAACAAAAGCAGGTATTTCATATAGTAAGGCTTTTCTC